ATCTCTGCCTCTTGAATTTTCATGTGAGCTTCTGTCTCTTGCTTTCACTCACTAGTTGAGCTTCTACATTTGCATCTCGTTAAGCTCGTCACTTAATTTTGATTTCCAGGAGTGAGATGTTCTGGAAGATCTAGGTGCCCTATGACATCTGGTCTCCTGCAAGTGTACAATCCAGAGTTCTACCTTTTTATCTTGCACTGAGATCTCTGTCAGTTTAGGGATTCAGTCATAAAATGTAAGTAAAAAAAACAAAAAAAAAGAAAGAAAGAAATTGCTGACAGGTAGGAATTGGAAAATCTCTTCTGCCCAAAAAAATTCTTCCTCCCTTTCCTAGCAATTTTTTTACTTTGTGTACACTGTACAGCACATGCACAATGCACTGTACACACTCAGCCCCATCAGGAGTTATATCATTGATGGGCGCGCCTATTAGCTGAAGATGAGTTCCGAGAATCCAGAAGTGTTGGCGGCAGAGATGGCGGCGGTGGGGGGACAAGACGGGCGGCCAATGATCAATCCGACAGCACCGGAGAAGGGCGCACATGTAAGGTGAGAGCAAAAACAAAAAAAAGTTTTAAATGGTTTACTTTAAACTAGCCATAAACACTATTGTGAATAGCCCGTGCAGCACCCCTTCGGTTCTACTGAACCGAAGGGGTCCTGGGGCCGAAGCTAGCCGAAGGATCGGCCGAAGCTACGGCCAGATCCTTCGGCAGCTTCGTGAATAGACCCCATAGATTACCTTTATTCAGCCTGAGTGCTGAATGAAAGAAATCGAGCAGTGCCCTACATCACTCTTAAACAGCGTAGATGGAAAAAATCACTCTGCCATGCTAATGCATTCTGACAGCAGGCGCCCACCACTGTCAAAAAATCTGCACAGTAACTGCAGCTGATTAGTGGAAGTCACTCTAAGGCCTTGGATGTTTTCACTTAAAGGAGAACTATGGGGTTAAGGCTTTTCCCCATAGTTCTCCTTAGGGTAACGGGAGGACACAAACTAGCGTCCTCCTGCCACCCTAAGCTCAGTATACCGCGAGCTCCAGCTCGCGGTATACTGTCTGGATCCGCCCAGCTGCGTGAGTGACAGCTGGCTCTGCCTATCTAGAGGCAGAGCCAGCTGTACCCGCCCCCTCCCCCGTCCGTTCCGCCAGTCAGCGCTGGCAGATCGGAGCGGGGAGAGGGGAATCCAGCCCCTCCCCCTGTCACGGCAGAGAGCCGTGACAGGATCGAGAGGTGAGCGAACGCCGGTATGTGTTCGCTCACCTTCCGATCTACTGAGTCGACCTGTGACAGTCTCATTGTCACAGGTCGGCTAGAACTATGAGGTGAGTGAAAAGCACTCACCTCATAGTTCTCCTTTAATCATTGCATTAAGGGTTATGACAAGACATGACAAGGTAATGCCACCGGTTCTCAAACTCAGAAAGTGTTCACGTTATTACTATGAGACTATGCTACTTTGTGATTAGGTATCTCATGACCCAACCATGCACACACAGTCCTGAAGCCCCCTCCCAGCAACTGCACAAAATAGTCTGCAATGAGGAAGCTACAGCAATAAGGGTCAGTTTTCCAAGTTACCAGCCTAGGACCAATGCTACTTATTAGAGGTGGGATACATTATATAAAACAGAGGACATGAAAGGCAAGCTAGGGGCCATACTTTTACACAAAATCAATATTCAAAAGACTTTTTCTTCAATTTAAGAGGGCAGCATACTTTGCACACAGTCACGGTTAGCTCTTATAAGTGGCAGACAGGCAATCTGTATAGGCACTAATTGCCACTACATTTCCATAAAAATGCGAGGCAACTGACAGAGAGCGTACTTCACACCAAATGGTGGGTGGATTTACAAGCACTTAACACAGTGGTCACTGGCTGGCAGTCTAAAATTAACCTAATGAACCTACATACACAGTAAACAGTATGCAATTGTAATCCTACAGCTGCAAGAGGCAACCCATCCAAAATCAGAAGTTGGGAACGAAAAACACACTATATGATAGTAAGGAAGCGGCATGTGAAAAACACTGTAATTGCTACTGGTTGGAATAAGTAGGTATTATTTAAAATAATAAATAGAAAATAAATAATGGATGTGCAAGTGTGATTATTAAATTTACATAATCACTTTTAGCAAGCTTTATCAATGTATTTATTATTTATTTATTAATTTATTCTATTCCAAATGTCAGGGCTAATGGTATATTTTTTGTAATACTGTTATGTGTTAATTAAGTTGCATTGGATACCCAGAAAATTAAAAAAGCATTAAGGAGATTGACAGTATATTCCATCATATCTTGGCCTTATACAATTATAAATCTTAACTAGTGAAACATCTGAGGAAGATCTGTCCCCTTCCCCTGAAATACAGTATCTTATATCTGTTCCATACATGCAACATGCACCCCCAGAATATCTGCTGAACACATGCACCCCCAGAATATCTGCTGAACACATGCAGGCTGCATCCCCTCACATACGCAGCCTGTGCATCTAAATGTTTCTTTGTACTGTACATTTGCAGCCTTTACCTACAAGTGCCTCTTCACATATGCAACCACTCCTAATATTCCTTCACAAATTTGCACCCCTCAAATGCCCCTTTACATGTTCACCCTGAGTCCCCACTAATTCCTCATCACATACAGTATGTAGCATGTGCCACCAGAGCTGTCTCTTTACATACTTAGCCTGCACCCCCAAAATGTAGCTTTTATACACACAAGTGACCCTTCTCAAATACAGCCTGCACGTCCACAAGTTCACGCTCTTTAGGATTCACTCCCCTCCAAGGCAAGCTCTCTTCAGCATCAAAAATTCAGCAATGCTAAAGCATTGAAGCAAAGTGCACAGTATTCCAGAATGTTGGCACCAAATTGCTTAAAGCACAGCTGACCTTAGCCAGCTTTTGATTGAGAGGTCATCATGACTTTAGAGGCCATGCACACCAGGGTGTTGAAGTAATGCATGTTACATGGTACGGACTGCAGTGCAACATAATGTATATGTGTTGCGGCGCAAAGAATGTAGCAAGACCTATTGTAGTGTAATGAGGTGTGTTGCAGTCCATTTATTTAGGATAGGCCGCCTAATGCAGCATGCCACAATGTCTAATTTTTTAAGAAAACACATGCACTACAGTGCACTGCGTTCTGGTGTGAATGGGCTCCAAATGGTTAGACTCTATCCAAAACTTTCAATAATGTGGGTTGAGTTCGGTTTTATTGGATAAAAAAAGGCTTTCAGAGGACACAGCAGTTTGTACTCTAATACAATCCATCAAAGACATACATCCATCTGTATTTTACGCTCACCTAGATATACAATGATTTGGTAACCATATTGAACATAACATTCAGTGTGTAAAAAAGTAGTCATCGATATATTGTACAACTGGAGAAGGGGGTGTAAGTAAATTAAGTGGATCAATTACAAGAAAGGATTTAAGTTCCAGCCATTAGGCCACACATATTATAAATGTCACCCATAAATACTTCCAGTAAGACAGGGTTAATTAACATTTAATGAATAAAAAAAATCCTAAAAAACTTCTAAATACCTTGACTGTACCTTGTAGCATGTACATCTTGCTCCACCTCCCCCACTGTACCCACCAAAATAACTGGGGCTGACTGGGGCAGGGTCCCGGTCTGGGAAAGACCCCTATGCCAGTGAAGTCTCCAAACAGTGTTAGCCAGTGTCAATGTAAACAACATTATTGGAAGAACATATTTACACTTGTTATTTTATAAAGTCTGTGAAGCATGCTCACAAGAGAAGGAAAAATAAAAAAAAAAATATTAAAAAGTCTCTTCATTTAATTTGTAAATAATGTGCTTTGTATCAGACACGCTTTGTATCAGAAACATAATTTCTGTGTTATTAAAAAAGGGAAAATCAAAAAAGTAGATGTGCACTTTTCTGCAATAAAATAAAATATTTTTGCAAGATATTGCCAAAAACACATTCTAAGCATTACTTAAAGTTATGACAAAATGTTTGCTGAATCAATATATTAATAGTGGAAATGTAAAAATTGCTCTTATCCCTAAAGTGCTTACACTTGTGGAAGCTCAAGTGCTAAAGTAGTATTAAACTCTGAAACTTTTTTCAATAATGAATCCAGATCAAACAAATATATATTGCCCAACAAAGTATTTCTTTACATTTTTCCCCAAGCACTTACAGTCATTATGTTTTTAAATAGCTGACTCCAACTTTCTCAGCTCCACTTCCCTGAAGGGGAAAGGAGGAGGATGGTAGGAGGAGAGGGGAGCAGAGAGCTGCGGAGATGCCCACCTTGCTGTGTCTGTGTGTTTGTGGAGATATCAACAGATACTGTAGCACTCCTTACCAGAAATCCCAAGACAATGATGGGTGCTCGAAATGACCGCGGATGGTGCCGCACACGGAACAACTTCAAATACAGCTGTCACCAGCACACCGAGACTCTCAAGTCAGTGCAAATGCATTTAACAAAAAAATGTCACTCAAAAAATCGTCTACTCTGAGCCTGATGAAGGGGACCCTGTGTGGCCCCGAAAGCGTTTGATTGATTGAGTGACTATTCAAAGAATACAAGGCGTTCAGTGAATGGGCAAGTGGAAAAGAGGGGGGCATAAACAACATTACGACTTTCATCTATAAGATCGGGCAAGGAAAGCGAGAGCTGAATGAAAGTGCGAATTTACAAGAACAGGCAGCGATCCTGAGCATGGGATACACTTCATTAAAAGGTACCTTTTATCTTTTTTTTTTTACCTAACAGTAAATGTTAAAAACCATTTACCTGCAACTCCACTTTAACAACAGAGATACAAATGATATCAAAAGATCAGCCTACGTTTTTTTATGATCAACTCTTTTTATTGAGGTTTAGCAGTACAGATAATTATAGAAAATCAACCTTGTGTCCAGAGAAGTATAAATCTAGTAGGTTTTCACATCATATACATAGAATTGAACATTAGCTGCTTAATCGGCTTACCTTTTTTAATACACTGTCCAAAGTTTCTGGCCGGCTTATATCGAAACAAATAAGTACAGCGTCAGATTCTGGGTATGCCAGGGGACGGACATTATCATAATATGCTGAACCTGCAATGAAGAAAAACACAAGGCAAATTAACTACATGTCTCCAAATCCTATTCAATAGAAGAAATTAGTAATGGTGCACTCTATCATTGGCTAGGGATGTTGAAGCAATATAAAACCTGAAACATAAAGAGAGCTTCAATTAAACATAAAAAACAATATCCCTTCTAACTTCTTAATGAGGGCTTAAAGAAGAACGTCCACCTGGCTATGGGAAAACTAAAAGTAAGCCGCTACAAGTACCGTAGCTAAATCATCCTTACCTAGGTGAGGAATAAGGAAATGGGAGCATATACCAGGTGAACAAATAACTTGCGTGCCCCAAGCCCCGCTAAAAATGGCAAGTGATTTTGTTACTGAGAGAAGGGGGGATCCGCTTTAAAGTGTACCTAAATTCAAATTTGTTTTCTTATTTTCGAACAGAGAAGTAGTGAGTTAGAACCCCTGACAAGTTGTTACTGCTGTCTGAATTCTCATTAGGGAGATTTACTCTATGTATCCTGGTGATCATAGTCACTGGGATGAAAAGCAAAGGTAAATCAAAACGTTTACATTGGCACCAGAACATCAATAGAGAGAGAAATCTTCCAATGGGAACACTTGACAACCATCTAAGACGGGATTTCCCTCAATTTGGGATAATTTTCCTTCACTTTCTGTTGTTTCTACAGGACAAGTAGTGAAGTGAAATCTCCCCAATGAGACAGATGCCAAAAAAAACACAACTGACTGGGATTTTAACTACTCTATACAAAAAGAAAAAAAAGGTTTGGGCTTTGGATGCACATTACGGAGCTAAATTTTTACATTTTGTCAGCAGCAGGTTAATCCCCATATAGAATGGACATGCCTGTTAGCACTATTGGGGTCAGGGGCTGATGTGACCTGTCAGGGTATTCCGTGAAAACCTGCATCATTTTTCAGTACTATACATAAATGATTATTAAAAGTACTGTTTAAGAAAAGAAGAACATCCAGAGGAAACATTAATGCAAGAAGACTTTGAGGCCGCAGGTTACACAAAAATACACAGCACTCACATGTTACTTTTCCGTTTTTTAAAGAGTTAGTGACTCTTTTCCTTTTACATAAATTCTTATATTGACACTAAACTTAGGAGTTAAATCTTAAAAATGCATTTAAGTACCTTAACTATTTACAAAAAATGATCTTATTTGAGTATCACTCGGCAGTAGATCTTCAAATCATCTCTGAATTGGTGCCGACACTGTCCTTCCTTCTGGAGGGTGGCTACTTCTGTTCCCCATGGTCCCTATGTCTGTGTAAAGTAGCCACCGCTCTAAGCTCACGCCCATGATGGACTACAACTTCAATACAAATTATTAAACATAAGCTTGGTAGTTAGTTTGGAGTGGTGGCTACTTTACAAGAACAAGAACCATGGTGAACAAAAGTAGCCACTCTCTAGAAGGAAGGACAGTGTCAGCACCAATTCAGAGATGATTTGGGGATCTACAGCAGAGTGATACACAAATAAGCTACATTTATGTTATTAATTAAGGTACTTGAATGTATTTTTAAAGTGACATTAAACCCTCAGATTTTTTTAACATAAACCAATACTGTAATGTGTGCCTTACTGTAATCCATGGTTGTTTCCCTTCTCTTTGCTGCTCTTCCTTTTTAATCCTTATCTCTTATCATGCTGGGGGAGAACTTCACTTTGCAGCTGAGTGCCTCTTCCTATAGTGCTGGCTCAGGGTGTGAACCTGCACACAGACACCATGTATCCATTCCTGAGACAAGGCAGTCTGCTGCAAAACAGACGTTCTGCCCAGCATGAGAAGAGATACGGATTTAAAAGGAAGAACAGCAAAGAGAAGGGAAACAACCATGGATTACAGTAAGGCACACATTACAGTATTGGTTTATGTTAAAAAAAGCTGAGGGTTTAATGTCACTTTAAGATGTAACTCCTGCGTTTAGTGTCACTTTAATTAAAAGGGCTTCAGCAGAGTAACAATGACAATAACTGATTATAGCAAAAATACACTGGTGGGTTCCTTTCCTTGGCTTGATTCTGTCCAAGAATACCATCTGCCTTGGTCTACAGTTTGGTTTCACCCCACAGTCTAAAAATATATGGTTTACCCTACTATGTGTGTGACCATAACAGGAAAACACCTTTGGAGTTCGGATTCATTTGAATTGTTCTTTTTTTTTTTTCAATAAAAGATGTTTCGTTGTTTTCATTACAGCACTATTTAAAGCTTCAGCTCTATGCAAATGACTTATAAATAAATGAAACTACATAAGATTTCCCAAAAACATGACCATAAAGACTACTCCTATTTAAGTTTTTTTTTGTTTGTTTTTTTCCAAACATGTCCTCAAGACCTTTCAAACTAATGATTGACACTACCAGGTTCTTCCAGCAGACATTATGGAAAACACTACACTTGACAAATTTCATAGCTAGAATTTGGCTGTAAGCATTAACTCAGAAAGTAATTCTCAGCGCATCAAAGCATACCAGTCACAGGTACACACAGACCTCGCCTTGTGTAATCACACTAACCCAGCCAAGGCCAAACAAGCAGGTCAGACTGCATAGCAGCCTGCAGGGAAGATAAATACCAAATTATTTTGTAGCAGACACTCATGGCAACAAAGACGCAGAAGACATAAATATATGTCAGAGCCAATATTGAAAATCCATATAATCTCAAAGTAAATCTTACCCATAAGTCATGCACACTCATAGAAATCTTTTCTGAACAGTAGAGAACACTACAGAGCTCTACATTCAACCATAAAGGTATTTAAACTTGGATTGACATATACTTCATATGAGAAATATATATTTCCATGAAAACCTGCTAGAGTATTTTATTTTAGAGGAAAACTCTGTAACCAAGAGAAAATATCTTCAGCAACTCAGAAACTGCATGGCCTAAATTTTTCCTGATTATTACATTTTTGTTCCAGGGAGAGGAAGGGGGGTAAGAGGCATTTTCCAAATTTGTGCAGGTCAGAAGTGCACGGTTTCACTGTTTTACTAAGGATGATAAAATGTTCGACTCTGCTAATTAAATACTTCACGAAATAATAAAAACGACAGAATTGGGAGCTATAAATAAAACTAATTTCTGAAAAATGCACCAGTGCAAACATTGCCTCATTTTCACCCTATGAGTGTTATGACTATTATAATATCCCATTAAAGGAGAGAGAAACTTGCAAACTGAGCAAATTAATAAGAGTTTAATTTAATCACAAAGTAAAAAATTACAATTCAGATGTCTAACCCGATTTAAAGCCCAACTCCAACCAATAGCCAAACAGTTTTTGATGCGGAAAAAGTAAATACTTCTGTCAAACTGTTATTTCTGTATGTGACCCTCATTGGGGAGATTTCACCTCACTTCCTCTCCCTGTGACAGGAGGACAAGAAATGAAGGGACTCGTCACTGGGAGGCACAGACAGTAACAAGGACTCAGAGTGTATCTGAGTTTATAAGAGTGCCAAACATACATCTCAAGAGTTCAAAGTTTTTTACTATTTGCACAAATGACAATAGGTATGCACGAAGCCGCCAACGCATTCAAGGGCCAAGCAAATCCCCCATCATCAGGGCTTGGGCACTGTATCAAAATGTCTATTGGATGCAAAACAAAAACACCTTGGTATACAAAAACACCTTGGAATCAATATTTCTAAATCTATAGCAGGAGACAAGTTAGCATGTGATCGTGCCAGCACAGGGATCTCAAGTCTCCCTGAAAGTTATTATTATCATAATTTTTTCTTTTATATTTGGACGACGGCCGCTGTAAAAAAAAAACAAAAAACAGAAAGGGCACCTCCCTGAAATGAGACGGGCATTTCCCTGAAATAAGGTTTTGCAGGTTGGGATGTCTGGCCAGCATCAGCAGCTGTATTGGTTCTGCCGCTGATACGGGCACAATAATATGGCACCAAACCATATCCAATCAGAGTACACCGAGTATTCAATAATAAAAATACGAGGAGTTCACTAAATGGCCGCTGTGCTGAGAGAGTGACCCTCTGTGTTTTTACAGCATAAGAAAAAATCACTCAGCATGTCGACAGTACAGGACCCGGAAGATCACTGGCCCTTTGGCTGCCCCTGTCTGGCCCATGGCCCAGACAGGGGCCAAGTGGCAGCTCTGTCCCAACTACGACTGTTATGACTGTCTGACAGTGGATGTGCCGGCCTCTGAGGCTGGTGCATCCACTGCCAGCCATATGCACCTCTTCTACAGTCATTGGTTGCTAGGACCGCTGACAGTCCTAGCAACCAGTGATGTCAAATGTGTTCCCCCGCCTCCAGCATCACAGGAGAATGGAAGAGTATCTTCTTCTGTTCCCTCCTGCAGCCTATTCCACCTCCCAGTTCCCGCTTCTGGCCTAACAATAAAGTAGTATATTAAGGTATGTGGGGACAACAATATAAAGGGAAACTCTAAAGGGGACAAACAATGTAATTGGGCACTCTAATGGGGACATTATCAAAACCATATAAGTTACTGCTTTTTATAAAGCAATACATTTAATATTGAGCAAAATTAAGTTCAGCCTATTGGTGTGGCTTTCCACAACAATCCCAGTTTCTCATGAGGCTCCTTGAGAAAATTATTTGCCCACCCCTGTACTCGAGTGTTTTACCAGATCCCTGTAGGCCAACCCATTTTAAACATGTATACTTACATTGGGCTAAGTTGGACCAATGTAAGTAAAAATAAAAACTTACGATGAGTTCAGCTTCAAGTCCAGGCAGAGAAGAAAAAAAAACATTTAGTACAGTTGTGTACCATTTTAAAAATGATGAAATGATTTTCCCATACAACTACTATACGTTCTAAAAAAATTTTGGGATATCAGCCTTCTGTTATCTCTTGCTCAGCAGTGCTTTCAATGGGAGAGAGAGCTAATCAGGCTCCACTGTGTGCACATGTATTGTCAGGGAACATGCTGACTATAGGAAAGAGCAGAGTGAGCAGGATTCAATCACTTATC